GATTACGTTCTCTGAAAAATGATTAATTCACTCCAGCTCTGGCTTAATAAAGTAGTACTGAGCAGCCAGTTGGTCAGCAGCTACTGGCCTGATAAGAGCACTATAATATCCCCCTATATGAAAGTGTTGCCAAATTATTTCAATTTTTAATTAGTGTTCATTTTGTCATTTGTCATGAACAACAGTGATGATTACCCATGAATTCCATGTTGTTCTAAGAGCTCTAAGGTCAGGATTCTGAATAGGACCTGACTGATATGACAATTTGGTTACAGACATCAATTTTGAAGTAATAGGAATTAACAAATTATTAACTAATGAGTTAACTGGTAACATAGGCCAATTAAATTATGTATGCTTAAATAAAAACAGACTCCTAAACTTTTATTGAAATGGATAAGTTGTCACTTGTAAATTGTCAGAATTAACAGTCACTTCTCAGTCATAAAATTTCTTAAATTCAAATAAACAGCAGAAATCTTCATTAATAAATTGATTAAAAAAAACAAGCCACTCATAACTTATAACCAACTAATTAACATTTATAACTAACCTGATCACTGAATCAGCTAAATCTTAAATCAGGTAAATAACATGAACTTTCATAAAGGCTTAACAGTCAAATGCACCAATTTAAAGTGTTGTTACATTTATCAAAAACACATTAAAACTAAAATAAAACACATTTTTATTTTCTTTTAAACTTTCTGTCTTTAATTTACATTATATAATGTTTGTGGTATTAGATAATATTATGGGTTCTTTATTACCAGGATTTCTGCTGACGTTGATAAATCTATGAACCCATAAAGGGGAAAGTCATGTAGAGCAGTTTGGTGTGAAATGGTTCACTGTAGAGAAACTTACTGACTCTAAATGCTTTACAGTGGTGGTGAAAGGAACCAGGTGTCACAATGTCTACAACACAACTATAGCTATTTTATTTACTATCAAAAAACACCAATGAACCAACACAAGTCTTCAGAGTTTTTATACGTAATGGTGATGATGGTAAAATAGTGATAAATCCCAAAATATAACTACTTCTTTGGGAACTATTTGCCTTGCAGCACCTTGCATGTACCTCTCTGCCATAAAGGTTTTCCAGTTTGAGGCCAAAATCATATCTTAAAACTATCATAAAACAATGTCTCAGACATCAGGCAGTGTGTAATAACTTTCAGATGTCTGGTTCCTATCACCACCACTGTGAATGACTCTGACTCCTTTGTTTCTTTAGTTTCTCTCAATTTAATTATGGAGAAATCTTGAAAATTTGGTAGCATTCCTCTTTAACATGGGCTAATTTTATTGGCCAGACGATATATGGGTCAGGCCCTAGTTCTGAAGTCACACTAGCCTGGCCTGAGGGATGTACACAGAGGAAAGGCACACAATGTAAGCGCTCCATACCTGAAGCCTGCGAGCTCTAAATAAAGGGCTGCTAAACAGGCGAGGAGAGGGAAGTGGGGCGAGGCGAAAGCTTTGTCCACGGAGAAGAGTGATGAGGCTTAGCAGGAGCCGAGTGGCAAACTGCAGCTAACAGCTTTGCAGATTTCATTATCCAGACAGTTAACCCTGCTGACACCAGTGTGGGGAGCGATCCTCTCAGGATGGGGTCCGGCACCCCCCACCACCACCTCCACTGCTCCGAGACTGATGAGATCATTACCACCAACATCCACAATTAGCATGTCCCCCTCTCTCTCTGACTCTCTCTCCCTCCCTCCCTCCCTCCTCTCTCTCTCTCTCTCTCTCTCCCTCCCCCTCCCTCTCTTTGATTCCTCATCTTTCTCACTCCATCTCTCTTAATTTCTCCTGCAGGTGATGCGGAAAGAAAAAAAAAGGCACTGATTTCAGTCTGAATGATGGCAGCCTTAGACATTCAACGTGTAGTTTGTGGCAGATTAGCACTCACATGTTTTAAAGTATAATTAGTCATATTATAGTACTTGAATACTTTTTGAGTATAATTACAGTCAGATGCAAAAGTTTGAACTCCTCAGGTCAAATTACACGTTTTGTTGATTATTGAGGTTAGAAGTGAAAGCAAGTTCAAATAAGTCTGTAGGGGTCAAGCTTAAATACAGCATTTTTCTGCAATCTTTAGTGCACTGTTTATATTTATATTTTATATATATATGCCTGTGCAAAAGTTAAGGCTTTGAGTATTGCGTTTCAATATGTTATACACATACATACATATATACATGTATGGAAGAACATTTGGGAAGTTATTGTTTGCGAGTGCACTGAGAGAATACAAAGACAACTCAGTCATGTCATCGTGTCTTCGGAGCATGTGAGTGATATACTAATGTCACCATATCTTTATCAGTGTAACACTGATCTGAATTTGAGACCTGAACATTGCGCAGGATCTTCTTTTGAGCCTGTGCGTGTGACATCACTGCATAAAGACGTGTGACATGAAAAACTCTGCAAAATATGACCTGATGCTTCTGACTTTTTATTAGTTTAATTATTATACTTTAAATGATTATTTCAGGCTTTATAGGGCGTCTCGCAGCAGTGCACACACCATATTTTAACAGACACCATATTTTAGTAGTTAGCTAACTATGTAATCATAGCATAACAACTACTGTTCTTTTAATTTTTGATTTTCTTGCTTTAGAATAACAAGCATGCTTTAGAAAAAAGCTGCAGCTTTTGTATAATGCTGTGAACGCCTGTTTGCTAGCTAATTTAGCTAATGTAAGCTCAGATTTAAGTAGTCTCACTAGCCAGACTTTCTGCTTATCTTCACAGAGTCCGGTGTGCTTTGTTGTCTAACTTTGCCAAGAAAGTGCATTGTTTGACAGGAAAGGGCCAACTGACTGCATATCAGCCAACCATAAGTTTTTGTTACTTCACCCACATTTTCTCTTGTACTTTCAGTCATAGAGAATTCCAATGCTTCTTCCGAATCACAGGAAGCCACATGCTGCTAATGGAACATCAATGTATTTGGAGAAGAATGCTAACTGATGATTCTTTTATGTTAGACTTGTAGACTGATGGGAAGGATGACCATCCTACCCACCCAGAGAGAGTGAGGTCAGTTGTGCTCTTTTTGACTCCTGGCTACGGACGGCTGTGGCATCATCGGGGATTGAACTCGCGATTTTCTGCCGATAGAGCCAATGGCAGACAGTTGGCGCCACTTGGAGGCTTGGGCCTTTGGTTTTGTGTCACGTGTGGACGGAGCTTCTGGGGCTGAATATTCAAGCATAAGTAGCCAGTAAACCCTGTGAAACCTTCTTTATGTAAGATGAGTGTTAACCTTATTCAAACTTTGATTCCGTTATTCCATAATTCCATTATTAATACTTTGAAGTGAATTATTCCTGTAGCAGCAGGGATTTTCCTGTAGCTGTAGCCAATATGACTGTGTCTGTGTCTCTAAGCATTACAGCCCAACATTAAGTGAGATGTGATGTGAAAATAACTGGAAATTTGTCATCACACAAATGTAATCTTGGGTTACGCTCAAGTTAAAAAAAAAATCTACAAGTTTGCCATAAGCCAGTGTGCCAACATGATTTTGGCTGATTCTCCACACTTCACCAGCTTCTACCATAGTGAGCTCAACTGTATCATCAATCATATTTCTCCATCATATTACTTAGAGATAATGACAGTTTCTTCAGCCTCAGTCTTAGTGTGCTTTTTTACTCTAGCTTTAGCTGTGGTAGTGTTTGGTATAAGTGTGTTTGAGTGAGCTTTTCTCCAGTTTAGTCTTTGCTAATTCCTACTCACTAGCCATAATCCATGATGCTACCAAGCTGGGAGGGTTAGCAACAGAATGTGCCTCCTTTCAGACAAATCTTTTCAAATTGCCACAATGTTGTCGGACAAGTCAACATGCTTGGAGGAGAACACTAACAGTGCATTTACACAGGTCCGGTGCGGAGACACACAAGAACACATCCTCCCTCATTCCCTGCCAAGTCCAACTGAAGTGTACTCTCGCTAAGTCAATACTTATGTAATTAATGCTTTTGTTTTTTTGAATGATCAGACGTTAATGTACTGTGCATCATTAAACTAATATTTTCCAAAATATTGGTATGACTGAACATGGAAAGATTAGGATTTAAGTTGTTGATTACCCCTTGCAATCTGTCCTTTTCAGTTTATTAATTAGCTCAGATAAACACTTTTAAATATATGAGCTTTTGCCAGTGGTCCTGATTTCACACAGGAATGTCTGAAAAGCTGAATGATTCACACACTGAGCTGCAGACATGAATCACGCAAACACTACCTGCCTCCTAATGGGTTAAATGCATCGTATTAGTAACGTTAATTTACAAAAAGTTTGTACTTTTTAATACACCGCATCCCCCAAATCTGACACACTGAACCTGTTATGCATTACACAGCATGGTTGGACAGAATGTTGAGGTGTGTTGCCATGCCAGAGCAATGTACATGCAGCATAACTAGAGCTAACCGATATGGCAAAAATATCATATTATGATACTTAAAGACATTTAAACAATACATAACATGCACCATGATATTCTGACACACAAACTCAATGCACTATCAGTGCCACATCTAAAAAAAAACATCAAAAACTCAAAACATTCTGTACTGCATTAAATAACTTAAACAGTATAATTATGCTTTGTAGTGAAACATGCAGCTGGATCTGTGTCCATTAAGTATTGATAGTATCCACAATATGCTCAGAAAAGCATATTGATATCATGGTGACAGAATTTATCAGGATAATGATAAAATAGTATATTTCCCATCTCTAAATGTACCTGCCAATTCTGTTAGCCAACAGACACCCATCTTGGCTAGCATCATGCTAAGTGATGGGGAAAACCATCCAACCCAGTCAGAGACTTGGACTCCTGGCCACGGGTGGCTGCGGTATCGCTGGGGATTGGCTGTGGTATCGCTCTTAGATGGTTGCCCTACTCAGGAACCCCCAGAGGCAGTATTTCATATATTCAGATGTATGAAAACAAACAGACATTTACCTGTGAAACAGACGGGACACTTAAAGGTTCCTCCCATGCCTTCAAAGCTGTGCTCGATCAGGTGACACTGCAGCTTTGCTGGGGAGTCGAATGTCTGGCTGCACAGTTTACACTCATGGTTCAGCCCCTCTTCTGACAAAAAGAGCACAGAAAAACACACAGCCACAAAACGGCGTCAGTCCAAATGCTAAACACACATAAAACAACATCATTTTCCAACCATTGGCAGTTTACAAATCTGCTCTTTTAAAAGACTTCAATAAGAACACATTTGCATACGAAAACATCTATAAAGAGCACAGGCAGGTGCACTTTTCTGTACTACTGATCAGGTGTATTACACATTGTTAAGCGCCAGAAAAACTGTAATTACTATCAACCCCCCCTTTTTTATTCCACCGTGATTAAAGCAGTGGCACGAGTGCAGGCTTCTGACTTTCTGAGTTTAAAAGAAAGTAATATAATGTGTGATCAGTTCCCGTCAGGCACAAATTGGACGGCCAGCGGGGGTCCTAATTGCCTGGGCTGCGCCTGGCTGGAAGAGAGGCAGGCATGGCTCAGAAACACTTTTCTGCATATCACACATAAAATGGTGTAGCAGTGCACCACAAATAGCATGTCTTACACCATTCTGGTGTTACACAACACTGCAGTAACCATGGGTCACCTACTGCCATTCTGACCACATGAATAATAGCAAATTTGGACATTGGCAGCAAAGACAGTTACGTCAAACCTCTTTTTGTCTTGTTTCTCCTTTTATGCTCATAACAAAGGATAGTAAAAGGGGTAACACTTTATTTGGATGATGCTTTGAAGTTCAGTACATGTTTAAGTAACATTCAAATATCTGTTAAATGCAAGTGAACTGAAGTTCAGTGAAGTTGAGTGTGGAAGATTGTATTAAATCTGCGACGAACCGTAAAACTAACCCTAAACCTAACCTCAAGGCAAAACCTATGCCTCCTCCTAAACCTAACCCTAACCATAATGTTGTTGATAAACTGAGTATCACCAGTTTGTTACTGATTTAACTATCTGTAGTTCATCTGTAGGGGACCATCCAAATAAATTGTAACCCAATTTTACCCAATAATTGTTCTTTAGTATTTTAGGGCTGTCGCTATCGATTAGTAATCAAGTAATCCAGATTAATCTAGTAACATGGCCATATATATATAATCTTTCAAGGGTTATGTATGTGCAAGTATGTCTGTATGTTTTATGTATGTATGTATACCTATAGGTATAGGAGAATGTTTACAGTACAACATCAAAATTGGACATTGAGATGTGGAGTACTGTATTGCTTATGGAGTATTGTTTTGATTAGGTTTGCAAATGGGATTATTTGGACCATGAGAAGCAGAAAATGCAACCAATTTCTAAGACTGAACTTTGGAGGTGTGGAAAAATACCCCTGCAGATTTCTTTGAGAAACTGAAATCAAGCCTCCTGAAAAGAATGGAAGCTGTAATAAAGGAAGTAAATAAAGTGTAGACACAAGTGTAGATATTAGTTGTTGAGGCTTCTGTGTCTGTAAATATACAGTGCTCTGCAGAGGTTCTAGAGAAAGCCATATATTCATGTATATATATATATATATATATATATATATATATATATATATATATTTGAAATTGTACAGAAGGGTAAAAACAGTCTTATAAACGGGATGTTATCAGGATCTGTTTCTTATTGTAGGAGAGCCCAGCAAGAAAATTTTAAATATGCACTTTCATCATGCAAACTGCCAACTAATCTTTGCCGAGTTAATAGCCCTATTGTTCTCTTCTCCATACTTTCTCCATATTTCCCTGCTTCAAGAATAAACCAAGAACATTCCCCACTGCCATTACCCTGCATGAACTCCAGCCATACCCTCACAGGGCAGGGCGGTCTGCAGCAGCTCTTAATGGCCAGCGGATGGCTCAAGACAGGGATATCGACCGGGATTGCAAATGGCGGCTGTGGCCGTGACCTAACTCATCATTTCTAGAGAGACAACTCGCTGGAAAGTAGCTGAAGCTGAGGGCTGATGGCGAGTGTAAGTATTACTTTATTACCATTTCACTGCCTCTACATGTAAATGCATTGCTTTTTAGCTGAAATACACAGCTATTCCAGCTTTCTATAATTTTATATAGTGATAGAACACACAGAAAGCTCCAATTGCACATGATGATCCATTTTACTATGAGCTACATGGGCATGCATACTCACCAGCTATTCTGGAGGCAAATTTTAATAAGTTACAGAAGACGAAAGAGACTCTGAATGCATCACCAACTACATGAGAAGTAAGATTATAATGTGTTGTTTTGCAGTCACATTTTCTATTGCACTTCAATTTCACTGCTTATGTGGCAGAATTAGCAGGGAGCTTTTGTGTCAGCTGGTTATCAATAAATGTAAAAAAGGCAGACAAATGAAGAACAAAGATAACAGATGAATCCATGTGAACCATTATGCTCTGCTTTGTCTCTTCACCAGAAACCAGAAACACTCCAATAAAAGTTGTAAGTGCAGATTTGGAACTGTAATTCATGATATAACTATATAAGTATGTAATTACATGTAACTAAATATGTAGTAACATAGTCATAACTATGTAATGTACACTGAGTTCTAAGAGAATAGACATCTAAGAATTAAACATTTCCTGTCACTGACATAAAGCACTATGCAGTTCCTCATATCGTGCATATATATATATATATATATATATATATATATATATATATATATCAAATAAATAAAAGCATGCAGGGCTCAGAGTGCGAGCTGCTTTTACAATCAGAATGATAAGGTAAGTGAAGTCATCCATGACCCATCCCCTCTTTCTCTCTCTTTCGCTCCATGGTCCAGCGCCTGCCATATGGGGCCAGATCCGACAGTCGCACCGGCCTGGACCCCCAGGAACCAGCTGCGGCCCACCAAAGGACCCAGAGGAGCGCTTAGCAGGACGGACCGTGATATAGCGCTGGCAAGAAAAGCCACCTGAGCGGCCCAGCACCCGGAAAAAAGGGTCCGGGACAGATGGGCGTTTAGCAGTGAGTGGAGTGAGTGAGCCTGTTAGCACAGACACCTGAACCAGCTTAAACACACAAATACACACTCACACTCACAACATACACACACACACACACGTACACAGTAAATCTGAAATGAAGTCCGATTCACTATATACTGCACTCATTTGGGAGCGTGCCAGTTCGCAGCAGCGGTGTCCAATAATGTATTGGGCCTTTTGATTGGAACAGCCTTCGATGATGTAGTGGTCTACGAATGCAGCCCACTTACCTTTTGGAACATAGCTGATGTAACGTACAGGACGTACACAAGGAATACCCAAAGCACACTGGGTTGCATGGTTAGAAGTTTTAAAATAGTGAGTCAAATTACATAATGCTGCTGTAGCAACATGTTTAATGCAATGTAATATGACTAATCTCAACACTGACATGTTAATTAATGATATATTGATCTTTTTTGGCACATTTTATGTCCAGTTTTAACTGTACTGTAAATTTACAGTGGAAATTCTGCAGAAATGCACTGTATTGCTTTAGAGCAGATTGCTGTAAAGAGTGGTGCATTCTGGGAAAAAAACGGTCCAGCTTCTTTTCAAACAATTAAAAATCTTGGATTCTACAGTAATTAGGTATTATTTGCAAAGGATGTTGGGAAAGTGAGTCCTAGATAGCCTGTATCTACAGCAAGGTATCTACAGTAGACTACTGTATAATACAGTGCAATGCTGCAGTATATAAACAATTCATTATTAAAAAAAAATTACGAAATAATTTGTATTTTTGGATGACAGCAAAGTGCTGTAATTGTGAATTTCAGTATCATTACTGTAAATAAGCAGCAATACACTGTAGAAACTGCTGCAAATTAATTACAGTAATTTTACAGATTTTAACAATGTGAACACATATCTGATGTCTGTTAGTGTACTAAACCTACTTGAATCATGAATTCTGTTTAGTGATTTGTGACTAGTGATTACGGCAAAGCTACAACACAACAACAGACATCCTAAATACTCCAAAAACTACCACAGAGACTCCAGAAAGGCCCCTATTCAGTTTAAGGCACCTGCTTCACACATTAATACAAACTTTTCATTTCAACTTTTATGGCCAATTATTGTTCTATGACTCAGAGGACAAATTAAACCATATGTGCTGCTACATCCACTTTCGTCTGTTAGTGTCGTCGCAAAGCTTTACAGGAAAAAACAGGGAAAAACGCAGGATGCGCAAAGAAAACAAAGAAAGTAATTTCGTAAACGGAGCGAGGACCACAACGGCAGAACTAACAATGCAGTAATGAGTCACGCACTGGAAAATTCAGCTCGTACTTCATGTCAAAAAAAAAATCTGGCAACATGTGTGGTGGCCTCTGAAACGCAGGCATATTAAAACCAGACTGCCTCAGATGCTTATGAGAGAGATTCTGTCATCTTAGCGAGGCCTCTGTGGTTGCTTCTATCCCACAGCAGGAGACTTCAGCACAGCCAGTCCTAAAGAAGTCGTTCATTTCGTTCAGTGAGAGGATTTGCTTCTGTGACCACATTCCCGTGTGTGTCAAACTGAGGGAACTGTCTTTTCTGTTCGGCCGATCCGCGCTCCGTCGTCGGACGGAGTTCATTACAGCTGGGTTTGTTTCAGGCAGGGAGACTAGCTCTCTCCCTCCAGCGCACTGTTCCAACAAAGAAAAGAAACTTCGGCTTATTATTATACTATTAACCCTTAGAAGCTGCAGTTGTCTCCAGTGGTGACAAAAGCACATTGTGATTTCATACTATTATGTCTCACTTGAAAACTATGAATTCTGTCAGAAGAACTGATTGTAAACTTTTGTCGTGAGTAGAGGAGGAGATATTTTGTTATGATTTGAATTTGATAAAAAAATTTTTGTTGTGCAAGTCTTGTTTTGCGAGAAAAGAAGAAGCATCCTTACAGTCTAACATTTTTTCTGTCATTTTTGACATCAAAACAACAGTAAAAGTACTTCAACACTTAACTAGTTAGGTATGTATTTATGCAATTGCATCTAAATGATTATGTGATATACACTCAGAAAAAGTCATGAAACTGCCCCAGTGGCAGTGCCCCTCTTGT